ACAACAAAATGACACAATAATATGCTTCTTCCCATAGTTTAAGTAAACAAATAAGTAGACTAGCCAAACTAGCTATATTTGATTTTGGCCATATGCATCACATCGGCAATTAAATAAATAAGTGTTTCAAGCAACATAAACAGTGTTCCAAATGTGCCAACACAGCCCAATTATATTAGCTTGGGCTATAAAGTGAATTTGAAAATTCTTAACAAATTTAAAGCAAATGTATTTTTTTCTAAACACATTACATTTAACTATGATACTAAGATATGTAAATAATTTTGTAGCACCTACTGCTCAAACCAAGGAAGTTTTTGATCAAAAAATTAATTTTTTTAACTTTTGTTCTGCTGATATCCCATACTGATGACTTAAAGAAAAACCGTCTTGCAACTCATCTCCTTGCTTTTGGGTTTTGACTGTGGGTAACTGCGTGCCTGGGAAGAACACTCTCCCGTACTGTATTTAATATTTTTATTACATGCTATGAAAAGATACGAAGATCATCTGTTTGTAGCCCATCCTTCAAAAAACAATCTACTAATCCAGTTTAAAACACACATCTTGATCTCTAAAAAGTTACCAGTGCAGTATGAACATGACAAAGTTGTCAATTTCCCCTAAATTAGCCAGTCAAAATATTTTTTCTCAAATCCAGATTCTCTTGTAAAAATTCTTTATATTTTATAAAAATAGATTTTTCTTGAAACCCATTTTCAGCAAAGAGACCACCTCTTTGGCAACATTGTTAATGTTATTTAAATTGTTATGTCATCAGGTATCCCCCGTTACCCCATTCCCTAACAGAAGACTGTTTAGTTCACATGATACAAAAGAAAAAAGGAAAAATAAAAAAAGTTGCAAAATTATGTTCTTCTTTTTGCAATTTTTATTGTTCCTCTTTAATTTGTGTGGGGGGTTTACCAATCTGATTCAATCAATGTTTTGAAAAAACAGAAAAGAAAACAAAAAGCTTTTTTTTTCTCGCTTTTAATCCCATTAGTTTGTAAAAATTGTTTTTTGTTTTATTATTTTTTCAAATGAGTGAATGGTCATCTTAAAAAGACCCACCTTCAAGGAAGGTAGTAAAACTAGCTGGCCGGGTAAAAATCCCTGCACATTGTTATCTATGTATATTATATTCAACAACGACAGCTATGAAAGAACATTCAATGCATCAAAGGTTTTTTTTTTTTCTAAGCATTATAAAATCCTTTCCTGTTCCTCACAGGATATCCAATGTTTTAATACTTAGGCAACACTGGCTTATAAAGTCCATGGTTGAATATAAGCCTTGAAGAGTTTTTTTTTTTTGTGTTTTGTTTTGTTCGTATATATATTTATATATATATATTTTAGTAAGTAAGGATATGAAATTCAGGATTTGTGGGTTTTATTGGTTTTAAAGGAAACTTGCAATACTCTGTCTCCTAAACGGTATCCATTAAGGCTGGCAATCGCCATGGCAGCTTCGTCGTAGTTGGTCATGGTGACAAAGCCAAATCCCTTGCACTTGTTGGTGTTGAAATCACGGATCACCTTGACATTATTGACCGCTCCAAAGGGACCAAACAACTGCCACAGCACGCTCTCATCAGAGTCGGGAGACAAGTTGTAGACGAAGATGCACCATCCAGTCCCAGTGTGACCAGGGATATTCATTCCCACAAGGCTCGTCATACCATCAATTGTGATCGGAGAAAACCTACCGAGTAAAAAGAGGGGTCTATTCTAAATATATCTCTTGGCACAACCTATATGGATCCAAGACTTAAAAACAAATAAGCCAGTGTTAATGAAGGCTCTGGATCCTATCCCTGGAAGATGACCACAGAGCCACCCTTGCTCTCTAACTCCTACTGAAGTAGAGGGGAGCTACACTAAATAAACATGCCAAATCTGTGCATAAATGCAACGCCCTCCAAGGATAAGCCCTGCTTAGATGTGTACAAAGACCTCAGAAAAGAAATGCTTAAGGACAATCTATGCCAAAGAGGGCCTGCACATGCTGTGATAAACACTTTCTTGAAAAAGGCCTGTAGGACTTTACCACTTATTCCCATCACCAAAATGAGTTTCAGGACTATGGAGATCTATTGCTTTACCTCTTACTAATTTGCAGTGAAAAAACCCAAGCAAACTTCAAGACCTATTTTAAAGATTAATGAAAAAATGCCTTTGTCAGAATTCAGCTATAACAGTAGCCTCTTCAGCTAAAAATACTGTTAGACGTCTCCAAGTGGTAGACTTTGTTTCTCCTCCTAACATCGTCCTTAATTGACATACACTGGGAAAAAATCCAGGTAATAAAAAAGTCCTCAAGCTGGCCACATATTAAAGAAGGTTTATGCAGCAATTGTAAAGTAAAAGAAATACAATTAACGAGCACATCAACTAATACCTTCATACTGTGAGGCTTCATGTCCATGACAGACTCTTTTAGGTTCTTCAAACAGTCAATGTAGAGAGACAAGCTCCTAGAATGTAACACAGCACCCTAACTTTCCCTCCCTCTCACTGTCCTTTGGGACCCGTTTTCCTTAACCTGAGCATCTGAAGTGAGCAGCTAAAGCCAGGGGGTATGTTTATGAACACAGAACCATCATGGAATACCAAAGGCTGGGCAGGATCTATGGAGATCATCCGATCAGCCTCCTGCTCCAAGCAAGGCAAATTTCTGAAAAGCGATCCGCCGCTCACAGCCCTGCAGAGGGAGGTTTACAAAGTCTCCAAGGACAGGAATTCCACTCCTGCAGTCCCTGCTCCAAGGCTCCATCCTCACTGCAAATGACTTTGCCTTATCCTCAAGTTGAATTTCCCCTGCTGCAACCTGTCACTGCTGACTCTTGTCCTCTTGCAGATGACCTCTGAGCAAAGCTTGGCTTCATCTTCTTTCTAATGCCCCTTGCAGGCAGCTGAAGGCAGCAGTCAGGGGCTAAACTCTACATTTGCCTTTCCCAAATTTCAACATGTTCCTCCAGCTTTTCAAGGTCTCCCCAGTGGCAGCTGTGGCCAGCAGCACAGTGACTGCCCCTGCTCCCTCACCAATTTAGTGTCACCCATTAATGCGAGGAGGGCGCACTGCAGCCCATGACTCAGGTTATTAATGAAGATGTTAAGCAGTATCAGCCCTCAGGATCAACATAATTTTCCTTTCATCAGTGTGAAAAAAAATGACATGCTTTCTGAAGCTACACTTTGGGATATGTTTTAAAATAACAACCGCACAGAGGAAACGTCTTAATAAAAATCCAGTTTCACATGTACCTTCAATATGATGAGTCTTAATACCAGAACAGAATAATAATTCCTCAGGATTCTCTGAGTGATGTCTGAAGGAGCAGAGGGAGGGACTCTGTTGCTGAGTGAGCTCTTGTGCTCTGCAAAACTTTTTACACTTGTAATAATTTCCACACACATTTAGCAATCTGCACATTATGCAGTGTATATTAAATAACCATAACAGAAACTACACACTTGATGGCTGCTCACCGTTCTGTTGACTCCTGACAGCACTTTTAATGTATATTCAGGGGAAAAAACAGACATTTGGAATACACGTCTTAAGCTGAGGATCATCACTGGGGTGTAGCTACGTTCTAAATGAGCAGTTCACAAATGCTCACAGCATCGGATCCTCAGGAAGGTTTGCAGACAGTTTATTAAAAATATGTGGAAATTTTCCAACTCAACTTCACTTTCGCAAATCCTCATCTCAACATCTTTTACTTTCTCTCCAGCATACTGAAACCAGTAACATTATCATAAGGGTTCAGCATGGAAAGGTGGCTGGACAAGGCTCCTTCCACCACAGGTGGGATTGTAAACAAGGCAGCCAGGATTTTGTACAAGCCAACAGCTTGAAATCTGGAAGATGGGACTTGAAGCCTATTGCTGGCCAGCACTGACTATGCCAGCAACATACTCAAGCCAGCAAACACTGCTTTTCTGGAATGTTTTAATATGAAGTACAACACTAAGGAATGCACTACCCTGTAAGCAGGGATGTTGTAAAATCTGTACAATGCAAAGCTGGACATGTCACAGTGTGTTGTAAGGCTTTGCATTTTTAAGGAATGCTGTGCTGATGTAAAGGGTTACTTTTTCCTACAGTTCACTGGAGAGCAGCTTTTCCCTGGAAACCTTTAGGAGCTATGCAGCTTTCAACTATTTATGTACCATGAGCCCAGCAGCTGCTGTAAATCCAACAAAACATGCACGAAACTGGTGCAAGTGTATTGACACAAATACGAGATCACCTATTGCATAAGCAGGTTTGCTACTAGCAAGTGATCTGAAATTAGCCTCAATAAAACCTTTTTTCCACATCAGCACATCTCATTTTCCATCAGTACCACACAGTTAGCACAGGGAAAGAAAGAACCAATCTCCCGTTTTTAGAGGCAGTTTCAGAAATGATCAATATGGTATTTTTTATGACCCTACACCTCTAAATTTTTTGCCAGTGCAAGTACAGGCTGCCAAGGTTTGCCAAGAGGAGATAAGAATCAATTTAAGATGCCTACAGAACGATTTAAACATTGTTGTGATTTCAGGCTAACACTGCAGACTCTAAATGTTAAGAAAGCAGATGCATCGCCTATGAAGACAGGTAACTCACTCTCTTTCACTCTGCAGATCACACAAAATCAGAATGCAAACCTTCACTGGTTCAGACTAAGCCCTGTTTGTCCTGCCCCACACAGCAGTGTGAAGTGCCATAGCCAGTGCAATTCTGGGGAAGCAGCAGCAGCAAAAACCCATGGAAAGCTCCCGGAACAAACCCATCCTTCTGACACTGACTTGTACCCGACAGACACCCGAGGCCAAGAGCTTTGGCATGTTTTTGACAAGGTATCAGGAACAAATGCGATGGGAGAACACAGAAGCAGTGTGATAAGATCAGGTGGTAAGTTCTGACTCACCATATCCCCATCAGCACTAAGGACGTTGCAGATGTAAGGACTGCACTAAGGAACACCAGCACTGGTGCCTCTGGGAAGATACACCACTCTGTTCTGACTATTGCTTCTCTAAGTACTCTCAAGGTTCGATATCTCTATGATATAACTAACCTGGCAGAAGTTAAAACCCCTGTTACTGTCTACCACTAGCTAGCATAAAGATATACTTACCATACCTTTTTACAGGATGAGCTTCAAACAAAAGCTCAAATAATTTTCAAGTGTGGTGAGCAGACCATTTCAGAAGATTAAGTAGTATTTTCTCATCTTAATTGTGGGGGATGGCTGGACATCTTATGGTAA